CACTCTCTATGCAACTTAGAGGCAACTTCTTAAGAGTTATCTAAGTCATAAATGGGTTTCAATCCGTGTTGGCATAGGGATTTCCCATCCCCTGACAAAATCACTGATCTTGCACATGGGAGGGACTGCTCAGGATTGGTGGGCATCTGTAACCTTCTTTAAATTCATGTCATGTACCCACAGAAAAGTTATCTGATTTTTTGCTTTCCCTCCCCCTGAAAAGATCTCATATGTTTCTGCCTCTGGATGTTTGTTGCCAGTATTCCCAACATCTGTAATGCCCTCCAGTTTCTTCTTTAACAATTTTTCACAATAGTAATGATTATAAACTGACATTTATATAGAACTTTAGGGGCTTTATGTACATTTTCTCATCTGAACCCTACAATAACCCCTATGAGGAAGGTGCTATAGGTATATAGGAGAGACAGGTGTTGCACTGGATAGAGCACTGAACCTGGAGTCAGGAAGACCTGAGTTCAAATCCAGCCTCAGACACTCACTAGCTGTATGATTCTGAGCAAGTCTCTTAATTTGTTTGCCTCGGTTTCCTCATCTATAAAATGGGGATAATAATAACACCTACCTCCCAGAGTTGTTACAAGGATCTAATGAGATGATAATTTTAAAGTGCTTAGCACAATGTGTCTGGCATATAGTAAGCACTATATAAATATTAGCTATTTTACTATTTTCATTTTATAGATAAGTCATGGGCCTACAAAAGTTAAGAGATTTGCCTGTGGTCACACAGCTAGTAATGTGTCAGAGGCAACATTTGAATCCCAGGTCTACCTAGTTTGAGGTCCAATTTTCTATCCACTAGCTCATGTTGCCTCTTAAAAAAACCATCATCACTCAGGTTCTAGCCTAAGGACCACTTTCTCTATGAAGCCCTTTATAACCAATCTAGATCACAGTGACCTCTCTGCCCTGTTAAATCCTATAGCACTCAAATGTATGTGACCAATTTGGGCCCTGGTAATCCTAGAATCCCAGGCTAGTTAAGTGAACTATTTGCTTCTAATGATGGGTGCTTTTCCTCTGGAGTGATCAACTAATGAGTTGAGTAGGAGTTGTGTGTACTGTGTTGAAATTAACAAATACTGACTCATTTTAATCTGTGGGCAAAGAACTATGGAATATTATCGCAAAAGATGAGCTCCTTCACAGAAGACATTTGAATTGACTTTCAATCCTTCTTTCCCAAGCCTTTTAAGATCCTTGATTGCTAAGACTGTTTTTCATTTTGTCTTAGTATCCTGGCAGATGATACAGTTTCTGGCATATAGTAGACACAATAAATGATTGTTGGGATTAGATTATATTCTCTCGAATTTTGTTGAAACAGAATCTTAGAAGTAGCCTTGCGTTGTTTCCATTTCTTAAATTCTTACAGGATTTCTGCCTCCATAACACCATGAAAACCTTCTATCTGAGATCACTAATCATGCCCACATGGCCAAATTCAGTGACCTTATTTCAATCCTCATCCTCCATGACCTAGCTTCGGTATGTGACTCCGTTGGCCACCCCCATCCTTTTTGAAATGTTTTCTTCCCAGGCTTTTCTAACTAGTTCTGCATCTTTGTTCATTTGTTTCCTTTCTGATCTCTTCTTGATTCTGCCCTCTGGCATCTTTTCTCTTACTGCAATCTCTCCTTTGGAGATCTTACCTAATACCATGGGTTCAACTATTATCTCTACATGGATGAGCCCCACATCTATATTTTTCCAGCCCTCTCCCATATGTCCAACTCTGAGCTAAAAATTTCAATCTGGATGTCCTACCAGCAACTCATCATATCTAAAAGTGATCTTAAATCTTCCCACTCTGCTCATCCTCACCGTTCCTTCTGACTTCCTTTTTCTGATGGTACTACTTTATCCCAATTACCCAGTCTCACTAACTCCATGCAATTTTTGCCTTCTCACTCTCCTCCCCATTCCTAAATGGCTGCAAAAATCCTATTGATTTTTCCCTTGAAATGTCTTTCAAACCCATTTGTTCTTTAAAGGAGACATTCATATATTCCTATCACTATAGCAAAGGTCCTTCTTATACTTCTTTTCCATTCTCACTTCCAGTATCCTCATTTAACATCATAATTAGTACCTTATCCTTGGATTAGAAATAATAATGATTACTACTATAGTTAGTCTTTATTAAGCTCTTTAGGGTTTGCAAAGTTCTTTACATATCTGATTTTTTTTATTTGATCCTTAAAATCACCCTGTGAGGTAGTTACTATTATTCTCCCTCATTTTACAGTTGAGGGATCAGTCTGTAAGGGACTTAAATAGAAGATTTGTACAGGGTCACCCTACTGGTAAGTGTCTAAGGCAGAATTTGAACCTAGATCTTCTGGACTTTGAGTCTGAGTCATAGAGTGCTATACCACCTGTCTCTGCATCTGGCTTAATTGCCTTCCTAATTGTTTATACCACTTCCTATCTTTCCTGTACATTTCCTTCAAGTGTATCTTCCTAATTCATCATTATTTTATTTTACTAAAAAAAAAAAAACCTTTGATAGCTCCCTATTGCCCACTACACTAAGTTCGTATGTTTTATTCTGACATTCAAGGCCCTCTATAACCTGACTCTGCCACCCTCAAAACTGGCAAAGGAATCTAAGCTGCAGGTCTCTGAGTTGAAAAATTCCTTTCTATTAATCTTTCCTACTGTCACTTACTTTAGCTCATGTCACAGTAAAATGCCACAACATTACCATTTGAGAATTCAGGGATTGGGAAGGCCCTATTTGGGCTGGTAACTTTCCTACCATGGTGAAAGTGACACCAGAAGTCAAGATGGATCTTTGGGAAAGGTGTCTTAATATTCTAAAATCACAACTCAGTTATGTGATAGGATTTCATATGAATCAATAAGTAAGTATGAGTTATGGATTGATGTAAGATCATAGAATAGTAGAATTAGAGCTGGAAGAAATTTCTATTTCCCTTTCTTTACAGATGAGGAGACCAAGGCCCATAAAGGGTAAGTGACTTGCTCAGGTCACAAGACTAGTAAATGTCTAAGAAAATATTTGAAACCACATCTTCCTGACTCCAAATTCATGACTCTTGGAGACTTTGGATGTAGAAACTTTGACTTTGATGTCTTCTTCTGAGTGTATGTTTTGATCCTCCTTGTGACCAAAGTAGGTTTCTATAGTCTGAATTTTTTCAGTTGTTTGCTCACTTTCCCAGCCAATTACTTGACTTTTTAACTCTTTGTTAAGGTAGGGCTCTGCTTTCAGTGTGGAGGGTGAAGCTATTTTCAGAGATACTTCTAGGGACCTGTAAGTTTTCAGTTCTTCCAAGGTGGTATGATCTAAGGAGAGGTGTTTATTCCTCTCCTGGACTGTGCTCTGGTCTGTGAGTGATGACAAGCACTCTTTTCTGCCCTGAAACTGTGAGAAGGATTCCCTTTCCACTGCTGCCACAAGCTCTGCTATGCCAGTGCCCCTCCTCGCCCCAGAAATGCCACCCAGGACTGCAACCCAGATCTAAGTATGGGCAAAAGCAACAGAATCCTGCTTCAGTGCCAGCAAAGAGACCTCTATAATCTCCTCCTGATCAGTTGTTCGATCCCCTTACCATCTGTGTGTTGAGAGCTCTCTGGAAGCAGCTGCTGCCACTGCCACTATCTCCTTCCTTGCCACCTCAGCTGCTACTGCCCTGGGTCTGTGCTGGGGCCAGGGCACTCCTCTCTCATCCAGATCTGACAGACCTTTCCTATTAACCTTCTAAGTTGTCTTTGGAGTTAATGAGCTGAGAAGTCCAGAAACCACCACTGCTGCCAGTGATTAGTCCCCTGATGCCTGCTCCAGGTTTGCTGGGGCCTAGTTTGCACTGGCTCAGCCTGTGCTGGTCTACACTCCTCTCTCAGCCGAGTGCAACAAACCTTTCCTGTCAACCTTCCAGGTAGTCTTGGGCTGGAAATTTGTTTCGCTTTGTCTTTTTGTGGGTTCTGGGGGTCTAGAATTTGTTTAGAGTTATTTTTACAGGTATTTGGAGGAGTTTGGGGGAAGGCTCAAGTGAGTCCCTGCCTTTACTCTACCATCTTGGCCCCTCCTCTGTGTCCAATTTTCACTGATACTTTAGTAGTGATAATAGCATAGCTTCAAATCTAGGTGTCCCCTGAAAGGTGGGGATAACTATGGGGATGGAAAATACATCTAGATGTGGGATAAGAAAAGATGTGTCCTTTGAAAGATACACCAGATACTTACTTGATCAGAGCAAATTTAGTCATGGATGAGCTGCTAAAAAAGCAACTTCTCATCTCTATTTCTTTGCTGGTCCATCATTCCTCTTGGCTTTTCCAGATACAACCTCTTGACTATGACTTGAGTTATAAATGCCTTTGGGACCAGTATGTATGCATATGTAACCAATATACATAATAGTAGTTAGTAGTAGAAATTATATCCACTTTACATTTTTTAATTCCCTTCAATCATGGACTTACCCTTATAGATAACAATAATTTTGTTCTGTGAGTGCCTTAGAAGTGAAATGCTCAGTAGACAACAAAAACTTTTTAACTATGTCAGTGTAACTTCTGGCATCTGAAGTATGATGATGACTTTGGGTCCTTGGATTTCCTGGTGTCTAGCTAATCAGGCATGTGTTCCTTGTGAAACTTTAGTTAACTGTTCTTCCTTCCTTGGTTTTCTTTTTATGTTGTTTATTTGTTTGTTTACCCATTATAACTCCTTTCCTTAGTAGAATGTAAACTCTGTGAGGGTAAGGAGAGTTTCATTTGAGTCTTTGTATCTCCAGTAGCTGGCACAGCACCTTAAGTACATTCATCCCTTAAAAGTGTTTACTGAATTGAATCTAGCATCTGCCATGATTTTACTGTATAAATAATAGCACCAAAGAATATGATAGTTTCTCTAATTTCAATTTGCTTAGAAGATAATGTTGAGAATTTCCTCCCTCCTGTGATACCTGACTACTGATTTCTCTTGTATTTCTCCTTTCCCTCAGGGAGATGATGATCTCTGTGGCCCTTGGACAGGTGTTATCCCTTCTTATCTGTGGCATTGGTCTAACCAGCAAGTACCTATCTGATGATTTCCATGCCAACACTCCAGTCTTTCAGAGTTTCCTTAATTACATCCTTCTCTTCTTGGTCTACACCACAACACTAGCTGTCAGACAAGGTAAGTTGGTATGATAGGGGTCACAGATCACAGAGCCTTGGATGTGAGTGCTAGCCAATTACATTTAAGAAATAGCTAGAATTGGGATGATAAGGGCTAAGGTATTCCTGTTCTGTCATATTATCACTTTGGATATCAGCAGAACAAATCAGAGTCCCAAATTCTTTCTTTTTTTTGTGATGATGCAGCAAACTAAATGAATGAATAAATCATAATGGAGCATGAATATTGAGGACTCAGCAGAGGGAAGAAAAGCATGTGTAGGCTGAATTGTAAAATCACTCACTCTGTGACTCTCTTTAAATATTCCTAATGCTTCCTCCTGATTCTTAGTGAAAGGTCTCACTGATGTGCCTGGACAGATATATGTATACATATAAGGAGACACAAAAGACATCTCCTAATCTTATCTCTTCATTCAGGTGAATTCATGATCTACAGCAAAATAACCTGGTTTGCATTGACTTTTTAAAAGTAATCATCAGCAAAAAAATTGTTTTAAGGCAACTAAATAAATGTTTTAGAAACAAACCAGGATATGTATATAGCTATGTACATTGTTGTAGAGAGTTGCACCTCTAGGAATTTATGCAAGTGCTGTTACTTTTAGAATCTATTTGTGTATCTGTGTTCACATGTATGGATTGGGATGGGGTGTTTATTTTTGTAGGGAAGGGCTGAACTGTGATTTCACTGCTGTAGGAAACTGCAACCTGCTGGCTAAAACTGGCCTACCTCCCTGTTTTTGTACAGCTCATGAGCTAAGAATGGCTTTTACTTTTCAAACTTTTTTAAAATAAAAATTTTAATTACTATTTAATAATTAGTTAATAATTAAATTAAGAAATTTTAAATTTATTTAAAAATATAAAAATAAGCTAGAGCAGTTGGGTGGCAGAGAAGATAGAGTTCCAGGCCCTGGAGTCAGGAAGACTCATCTTCCTGAATTCTAATCTGGTCTCAGATACTTACTTGCTTGTGACTCTGGGCAAGTCACTTAACCCTGTTTGCCTCAATTCCTCATCTACAAAATAAGCTAGAGAAGTAAATGGCAAACAACCCCACATCATTACCAAGAAAACCTCAAATGGGGTCACAAGGAGTCAGACATGACTGAATAACAACAACGATGCATTCTTAGCTCTTGGGCCATAAAGAACAGGTTGGTGTATCAGGCTAGACTGGAAGGTCATAATTTGCCTATATTTTTTGTGGGAAATTCCCAGTAAGGAAACTTTGTTTACAGTCTGCAACTGTTTTACAACTAATAGTCTTTCGTTTGGGGCACTAAATGGTTGTCACTTACCCAGAGATACACATCCAGCCAGTGTCAAATATAAGACTAGAATCCATATCTTCATGACTCTGAGACTAGCTCTCTATCCACTATGGCACATTGCATCTGCTCTGGGTGTGTGTGTGTGTGTGTGTGTACCTAAGTATGTATACATCTGTATAAATGTTTTTGGCCCAATATATTTAATTATTATGATTCAAGAATACCAAATTTTGCTTTATGCAAAATGAGATAAAATAAACATTTGAACAGCCTCTGAAATCCAATTTTATTGTTGTTTTTTTTTAAGAAAAAATATTTGCAGTGGAGTCTTATTTTTATTTTTTTTTAAATCAACACTGGTTGTATTAATCATTGTAGTTGGCCTTATCATTGTTATTACCTCTCATTGGAATCACCTCCTACATTCAGCTTTAAATAATCTACAAAAGAGGAGACTGAAGGAAGTTAATGAATAGAAATAAAATGATTAAGGACAAATTAGAGATTTGCTGATAAGATAAGATTAAAGAAATGAAGCATATATAGCATGGTTACATCAAATGAAGAGAGAAAGAATGCAAACAATTTAAAATCCACTTGATGTAAGCATGAAGAACTGTGAAGAGGGGGAAATTATTTAGTTTTCTATGAAGGAAAGCATGGTGGAGAATCCTTTACAAACATTTAATGAAATGCTCAGGACCATCTTTTCCATCTGTTTCCTACTCTCTGTCCACATAGCCAGCATCCTATTTCAGGCTCTTTTCACCTTTCATCTCGACTACGGTAGTTTCTTCAACCACATACCATAGAGCATATGGGGTATTCAAGGATGACTAGAACTGCTGGTGTGAGGGCTGCTGAACCCTTTTCAGGATTGCTTATCCACCTTTGGTGTCCACCTTCACTCAACTCTCACCTGTGACTCCAAGAAGCTATAGCATCCATAGTGGCCACATTCTGGCAAAACCATCTTGGCAGATGGGCTTAACCAGGTTGAGGGTAACTGACAAACCTCAAATCCATTGGTGAATTAAGGGGATGCTTACCCCAAACATGTGAAGACTTACCCTGGTGGGATGAGCAAATATGAACAATTTATTCCAGTGGCCATAAAAGTAGCTAAAGCAGGTGCTATATAGTGCTTAAGAGCTTGGTTACACATCAAAGACAACAAGGTCATCCTGGACCATCACCAGTCATCCTCACTTTTGCCTTGCCGCTGGACTTTTATGACTCTGAAAGAGAGAGTGAGGCTGACAACTTTGTGCAACTCCACCTCACTTAAATCCAGTTCACACACAAGTTAAAACATCACCCTATGATATCATTGGTTCTCTTTGAAACAAAGGACAAACAATGAAACAACTAGGTTGTTGTTAAAATATTAAACTGAAACTGAGAGAGAGAGAGAGAGAGAGAGAGAGAGAGAGAGAGAGATGAAATGCTTTATTCAAGGTCACAGAGCTAGTTAGTGTCTGAGGCAGGATATGAACTCATACCTTCCTGACTCTAGTCTAACAGTATGCACTGAGCCATATAATTGCCTAAGTTGGGATCCACTCAGTTTTCCAGTCTTGCTTCATATTATATTCCTTCACATACTCTACGTTACAGCCAACAGTATACAACTAGGTACAGACATACAGACTTCTGGCTCTTTGAAGCTATGCCCTCCTTTCTTCTCTACTTTCTTCATACCTATAGCATACTCCCTCCTTTTTTCTCTTTGAGAATCTTTCCTTTCCCTCAAGGCACTGCTAAGGTCTCACCTCCTCAGTGAAGCCTTCCCTCTTCTTCCCTTCCCTCCTAAAATAGTCCTACTGCCTTTATCAGGCTTTCTCCTTTACTCCTCCATATATTAGACTTATCTTAGTACATATCCTACCCCACACCCTCAAAGAGAGTAAATTTCTTGAAGGCAGTAACTGTAGTATTCTTGAATTTCTATGTCCCTAGTGTCATGTACCTATCTGATCATTGACAAATTTTTATTGAATTGAATTATTTGATTTTGATCCCCTCCCAAACTCTCCAAGTCTGACCCCCCTTTATAGCTTCATGTTATCCACATTCTTCACGGGTGGCTATGGCACCGCTGCAAGCATCCTTAAGATTCTCTGCTTCCAATTTCTGTATATAATCTGGGCAGCCTGGTTAGACAGCCAGATGGAGCAATGGATCAGTGGATGGATGGGTGGATGGACAAGACTAATGGATAAATAGACAGATGGACAGAAAGTCAGGAGAACAGACATATAAATATGTATTCTATATAGATAAATGTGAATATATTATATATTTTATATCATATTTATATTGTGTTATATTATATTTCATATGTAGACATATGTAAATATACATATACTATATGAATGAGACAAAACCTCAAATTAATCTAATCACTTCACTTTTTTAAAGTGTATGTGTTTACAGCAAGATATAATGTAAGAAGGGTCCAAATGGTGATAAAGAGATACTCTATGAAGTCTTACCAAAATTTTAACTCAAAAGTTAAACTAATCTCATCTATCAAATACATCTTGGATGGGTGTTCATTTGTCTCTAGCCCAATTTCATACTGGTGCTTTGTTCCCTCTATTGTTAACATTCCATCAAGATTGGTTTTTTGCCACCAATAATCTACTCTGAATTTCCTACCTTCAAAGTTTTGTGTCTAGTCCTCCTTTTACTAGGGGCTAATGCCATGTTGGCTCAGACTCCCTCCAGATGGGCTTATAACTCCAAGAGTCCTAGCTGGCAGCACATGAAGAAACACTAGATGAATATAGCTATCCAGAAAAAGCATCAACTTCAGAAAGGAACTGTGTTGTTTCTCCCTAAGAAGAGCAAGATGAGGCCCATGTTGCAATTTGGAGAAAGTTTGATAATTTGGATGAAGTTCAATTAAGCATTAACTTCAATAGGCTTTTTCTTTCAGCTAACGACCCAGTTCATTAATTGAAGTTTCTCAAACTCCTGAATATGCCTAAATAACTTCTCATAAATAGATTTTAGTAGAGATTATTTTTCCCTTGGAATTCTTGAGGTGGGGGAAGGGAGAGTTCCTAGCTGAATCTAAAAGTGCAGAAACAGCAGAGGTAGGAGTGTCATGAACAAAAGGGGAGAATGAACAGGGCTGGGGCCACACTCAATTCAGTAAGAAATTATTAACTACCTACTCTGTGTAAGCAGTCGTATTAGACACAGGAGCTATAAAGACAAAGATAAAGCATTCCCTGTTCTCAATAAGCTTCTGTTTTCCTGGGGAAGGAGGAATGTGTATTCTAATAAATAAATATGAAATGTATACAAAGTAAATACAAAGCAATCTGTACTAGCAGATGAAGAGATCTGGTAAGACTTCTTGTAGGGGGTGGCACTTTCAGCTGATGCTTGAAAGGAGCAAGGGCTTCCAAGAAGCAGGAGTGAGGAACAATAGCAATCAGGCATGAAATATGGCCTGTGTAAAGGTATGTTGGCAGAATATGGAATGTCATGAATAGAGAACAGTAGATAGGTCAGTTTGACCCTCATGTTTAGAAAACTCTCCCTCCTATACTCTGACTACTAACCTCCCTGGTTTCCTTTAAGTTACAACTAAAATCTCACCTTCTACAGGAAGCCTTCCCCAACTGATCTTAATTCAAATGCCTCCTTTCTGTTACTTCCTATTTTTCTCTATATAGCTTATTTTGCATGTATTTGTTTTCATGTTGTC